TTGCAGCTAGGGAACATGAATAATTGTGCACATGGTAGAGAAAGGAAAGGGAGGTGGAATGATGCAACAAATGAGTCAATGGAGGGAACATGGATGATGATGCACGACATAGGAATCCAAAGGGAGTGCAATGGTGGTGCACGGCAATGATGGAAAGGTGAATGGTGGAGTGACACCCTTTTGTGGCTGAGCTCTTTGTCCTTTTTACATTAATTCTTCTTTCTCTTTAACACATTCCTAGCCTCTTTAGTCTTCAATTTCGTCCATCCACCTTGCTCCATGCATGTGTTATTCATTCCAAGCCCAAAACTGCTCCAAAATGCACCAAAATGCATCTTATTGCTTCATAAGGCCTATGGACCTACAAACACACGAAAATAGCTTAAAATACATAATTAACTAAGAAATAACAACATAAATGCATGAGAACAAGCTAACTCAGTCGCATAAATATGCTCCTATCACTGGGCTGAGCGGCATAGGCCGCGTGCATAGGGGCTTGAGGCCTCCAGGCCGTGTTGTGGAAGAGAAAGCTGGGCCTTTGTGGCCTGGCGTTGGGCTTTGTCGTAATTTTTTTTCTTTTTTTTTTACAGAGACTTTGAAATGTCTTCCTCCGATCGCAAATGTGACAAATATCCTTCACCCTTATACCGTCAAGGTAGGCTACTTCAAGGCTGCACATGTCAATATCAATTCCAACGAGCTATTTTGGGATTTTCTTGAGACGTACAAGCATGTGATTCCATCGGGGGTTCGTGTCAAGCGGGTGAAAGATGATAGCGGTCATGAACCATGCGGCATTGGTGCCATTTCTAGGAAGATGGCTATCAAGTTCCATCTGTTTTACTTTGTGTTGGGATTTACTTTTCCTATGCTGCGTCTTTTCGAGGAGGTGATCTGCTTCATGAAATGTGCGCCTGCTCAGTGCTCCCTAAATGCAGTTCGTGCGATGGTGGGTTTCTCGAACTTGAACAGGTTCTTTGATCTTGGCTTGACCATAAATGAGTTTTGGTACTTCTTCGAGATTGGCCACAAGGAAGGTGTGGAGCAGCCGAGGTCTTACCATAGGCTGCTTGATGTTTCTTGCAAAGGTGATCATGAGTGGGTGAGAGACACCTTATAGGTGAGCGAGGAGTGGGAGTCTGACTCTTCTCTTGAGTTGTGTGTCCCGACTTCCTTTATCAATGGTAAGTGAACAGCTTCATTCTTGTCCTGCTTGAATTTTTGTTGAGCTGTTCCATGACTTCAATTTAATGATCATCATTCTCACTTTGTGTAGATTCGGAGTTTGGCTCAACTCCAAGGACTTCGGCAGATATGAAGAAAGTGCACATTGCCTTGGGCATTCCTGATGAGTATCATGAGTGGCCCTGGTTGCTCAACCTTCTTCGTCGGGAGAAAAGTGGCTTGCCTCCGAAGGAAGAGATAAAGTGGATAAAGGACAAGGCGTTGGCTCGTCCAATCCCTGGTGTAGAGCCTGCTGCCAATAAGGGTGGAAAGAAGAGATCTTCCTCACCTCCTTGTTAGCCTTCGATCTAGAAGAAGCCAAAGACTTCTTCTGTTGCTCGTGGGAGCTCGTCTGCTGTCGAGAAGCTTATCATTGATCTAACTTCCCCCAAGAGGGTGAAGAAGGCCGTTGAGCCTAAGCCTGTAAAACCTGTTGCTCCAAAGGTGACCGTATTCATTGCTGAGAGGTTTGCATGCCTCCAGTGTCCGGGTTTATATCAAACCATCCGTCGAGAGCTAAGTCTGGTTCGGCTTCTAAAAAGCCCACCGCTATGAAGAGTGGGAATGTAGATTCTACTGCTAAAGTGGCGACTGGGCCTGTTCCTCATTCTGCCGTGACTAACTCGTCTGTTGAGATGGGGAAATCTGCTTGCATGGGCAGTTGTGAGAGATCCATCGAGTTTGGGGCTGGTGCATTTCCTGAGGTTTGTGCGCTGCTGAAAGCCGACCTGCTTTAGGACGTTATTGCATGCGCCACGTTCATTGATAGTGTTAAGAAAGTTGTCATTCGCTCAGACTCTTTTGCTAAGCGTCCTACCTATTCGAGGAGGTCATCCCTGATTGCTATAATGAATAAGACCTTGATCCTGGCAGCTGAGTCTATGCGTGTTGATCAAGATGCTGTCAAGTGTACTAAGGAGGCCGAAGTGGCGTTGATGGCTTAACTTCACTCGGCTGCTGAAAATATTGAGAAACTCGAATCTGAACTCGTTGTTGAAGGGGTCTGATGTCTTTTCCCCCATTTATATGCAGCTGGAGAAGGCTTATCAAAAGGTTATCGACTTGAAGACTAGGCTTAGTAAGACTCAATCAATGTTGGAAGCTGCAGAGAAGGAAGTCAGTCGTGTTTCCCCGGTGGTCAAGGACCTTGAGCGTGTCAATTTATAGCTACGACCTGCTTATTTTTCCAAGGATGAGAAGCTTATCTTCATGCATGCTAAAATGTCTCATCTCAAGGAGTTTGCTAGTAAGCTTGAATCCAAGGAAGTGGATCAGCAAGGTGTGCTGCCTGCTAACGAGAACCTGAAAAAGGATTTGGATGAGCTGCATGGTGCTCATACTGGGCTTGTGCAGCTAAAGAATGAGAAAGCTGGTTATGAAGTGGCGCTTGCTTATTGTCAGTTCGATTTCTACAAGATTGGCTATGTAGACCATCTTCAGGACAGGTTGTCAAATTATGAGTTTTCTAAGAATGACTTCGAGACTTTATCTATTTCCCAGTTGATCTGCTTGATTTCTCATTTGAGGCTGCCTTTGGTGGAGCAGCTGAGGGTCAGGCAGTTCAGGCAGGGGTGGCTGAGGATGAGCTGATGGAAGCTTTGGCTGCTAAGAGCAGTATGGCTGCTGAAGGCGTAGCAGTCGACGAACCAGTGGTTGCGCAGGCTGCCCAGTAGTAGTCTTTTTGCTTAGACTTAGGAATTTTCTTCTTTTCCTTTTTATTCTGCTTTATTTGAACTTTGTTGGCCTTCGAGCCGGTTTACCAATTTGCTAGAAATTTAATAAACAACTTTCCTTGTTTTGCCTCATCCTTCTGTTTCGCCAGGTTTTTTTGCAAAACTTTATCCAAGGATTGTTGGCTAGGTGAGTTACCTCAATGAAGCAACCGATCTCACGTCGTCACTTAGCTTTTAGCTTTGTCTTCGAGACTTCTAGACCTTTACCTACAAGAGGAAAAAATGCGAGATTTCTAACTCATAGAGCTGGCGGCCAAACTCGTTGCCTCCGTATGAAGTAGGCGAGTTTATGTAGCTACTATAGTTATGAATCTTGACATTGGATGGCTTTACGAGCCTAGCTTTCCTAGGGCTTATTGCGAAATTTATAACTTATAAGGTTGGCGGGCGGACACGTGTTTTTCGTAGAAAGCAGAGGAGTCCGTGTAGCCATTATGGTTGTATTTCGGCTTTAAGTGACTTCTTGAGGCTTCTTGAGCTATGATGGCTTCTTGAGCTATGGTGGTTTCTTGAGATATGGTGGCTTCTTGAGCTATGGCCCTTTCGGGGCGTGTTGCAAGCTTTTGAACTTATAGAGTCATCGGCTGGACTTATGCTTCTATTAGAAAGTAGAGGAGGTCGTCGTAGCTGCCATAGTCATACCTCGTCTTTGTCCCAACAAAACTTAAACCGTAGACTGTCAGCTAAAAATGCTCATTTTAAGTAAGCAGACGAGTCCACGTAGTTATAATAGGTGTAAGTCTCAGCTTACGGATTACCTTGGGTTACCAACTGTTGGGTCGTCGGCCGAGCATCTTACTTATAGAAACAGATAACCCGCGTGACCACTTCAGGCATCGTCCCTGGCTCTCAGAGGCATTTTAGGCGTGAGGTGTAGGCGGAATTGCACTTCAGAGGTCATATCATTATGAGTCGTAACTTGATTTTGCAGGTCGTTTAACTAGTGTTGCAACACTTTAAAACCAAGCTACTTTCATGTAGACTTGCAAGTCGAGGGCGGACCATCTAGACAAGTGAATTCTTTCATGGGTAGTTGTCCTGCACTTAGTCTCTCTTTCGGTTAGAGACCCGGGATCCTGCGAAATTAAATCCTTCAGTTGGCTAAGTCCATTCTAGGGGAAGGACTATCTTAGCTAATTCTAGGAGTCATCCGGCTCAGGTAGTCCCTGCATTCAGGAGAAACTGAGCAGTCATACCACCCATCCACATCTGGATTTTTGGATTAGTTTACCCTCTCCTTATTGGAGAGCACACGTCTGCAGGGCAGAGGGCGTCTTTTGCTTGTCATAGGGGTGGTCAAGGAATTAGTTTACCCTTTCGCGCTGAAGAGCTTACCTATATGGGTGTCAGGGGATTAGTTTACCTTCTCGCGTTGGAGAGCTTACGCAGATGGGTGTGGGGGATTCGTTTACCCTCTCGCTCTAGAAAGCTTACCCAGATGGGTGTTGACGGATTAGTTTATCCTCTCGCGCTGGATATGAAGAGCTTACCCAGATGGGTGTTAGGGGATTAGTTTACACTCTCGCTCTGAAGAGCTTACCCAGATGGGTGTCGGGGGATTAGTTTATCCTCTTGTGCTGGAGAGCTTACCCAAATGGGGCTTTGAGTAGTTATAGGCAACAGTTAAGCCAAGTTTGTGAATAACTTCTTGGATTTTCATTGAGAATAAAGAAACACGTTAACTATGCTGGAAGGTAGAAACTGCATAACAACTAGGATAATCCTCGGCCTACGAGGTGTTATTTGCCGAATTTCTTGAGACTTTGAACTTATTTGGATAAGCCTAAACAGAGTCCAAAAGGTGATGAGAGATTTCCCTAAGCATTCCTTCACATTGCTAAATATGGACCGAGACTGCTCTGACCTGGCAAAGATGCCATTAATCCGCATCATCTTCAAAGGGGGTTCAGTGTCAACTTCTGCTGCTTGCATGGGCTGTGCAACTGGCTTGTTGAGGTACTCGTTGCACCATCCTTCCTTCGTCAGCTCCTCAAGGTACTGCTTCCATTTCAGGCAGCCGTTGGTAATGTGACCCGTCCTTTAGTGGAATGCGTAATACTTTGTTTGATCTAGCTTGGTAAGATCACCCTTCATGGGTGGTGGCAGTTTGAACCATGGTTCATTCTTGAGCTTACGGAGAATCTGGCCAATCAGAACTGTGGACTTGGTGAACACCTTAGGTATTGCGTCACCTCTGTTTAGGGAACGGTCCTTGCGCTTATTTTTTTGCTCGTTCCCCTCAGACTGCTTGGCCTCATCCCATAGTGCGTGTTTCTTTGCCAAAGCGTATAAAGCTGCCAAGGTCAGCTCCCCGCCCATGATCAATTTTTTGAAAAGTGGGTGATCTGTTAGGTGCCCTTTTCGAAAAGCTGAGCATACGATGCTATCATCGCATTTAACGATCTTCGCCTTCTTTACCTTGAACCTCTTGATATATGTGCAGAATGACTCATTCGGGTCTTTTTTCATGTTGAATAAGTGGTCAAACTTCTTCCTAATCGAGCGGTAGGATGAATATTCCTTGGTGAAAACTAAGGAAAGTTCATTGAAGTTTCGGATTGAGCGCGGTGGTAGGGTGTGGAACCAGTCTTGTGTCTTGCCTTGGAGTGTCGTGGCAAAGATTTTGCACATGAGAGCATCGTTGTTAGCGTAGAGGGTCATGGCGTTTAGGTAATGCATCAGGTGCCTGTCTAGGTCTTCATCTCCTTAAACAAGGTGAAATGTGGGGGGCTGAATTTCCGTGGTGAATCCGTCTGCTCAATCTCGTCTATAAAAGGTGACCTACTCAGGTTGGCCACATCTCTACGAAGTGCATCGTCGGTAATGTAATGTGCTAGAATCCGCGTAGCTGCTTTGTTATAAACCTTTGTACTTCATCCTGGATTTATGCCTGGTGGGGCAGCGGAGCCTCTGGTTGCCCTAGTATCGACCTACTAGTCCACTTGCTCTACGGCATGTTCTGCTCGTTTGTGCCATAGCTGCAACGCACGTGGTTCGCTCAGTGCTGCTTGCTGTCGCGCTTGGCGGGGGTTACTAGTGGAACTTGAGTTGGATTGCTCTCGTGCTTTTCTCTGTTCGTCATGCGGTTGCCTACGCCGGTGCCTCATAGAAGGATCTCCTTGTAGGCCTAGCCTTGTGTAGACGCTTCTCTTAGAATGTCTTGAGTGCTCGTCGGAGTGTGGACTCAACATTCAATGAGCACTAACTTGTGAGCCGAGTCAGGAATGAACGCTTATCTGCGCATCTAGGCGGGAAAATATGTTTCCTTGAGGGCCCAAAAGAGAGTGCGCACTACCTGAACTCATGGTTTGTGATGGCTGAGCAGCGCGAGACGTCGCTAGAATAAGTCACATTCTACCGCCTTTGTCTTGCTTCAGGACACCTCATCAGGGGCGTGCTGCATCTCGATGCGCTCGAGGAGTTAGCTCACCAAAGTGGTCTGCTGCGCGAAGGCACTTGTCAAATTGACGACTCGTTTATGCAGGTAATGCTCACAATTTGGATTGGAAGAGTATGGGAAATGGGCATCTTCATGTGTGGTGGAAGTATAGTGGACTACAAGTACAAAACTTAGGCCTAAAGCAGGCATTCCTGCATAAAAGTAAGGTGAAAATAACCCTGAGTCGATCGCGGGACCGATGGTCAGAATCTGGATCGCCGGAGGTGGCCTTAGATTGGATTGGGCCGCAGGTTGAATTGCCGAAGCAGGTCGCGGGGTGCACTGGACCGGTGCCTGTTTTCCTTGGGCTCGTATAGCCTAGGCCTTCTTAGCCGTTGGGCTGCTTGGGTAGGTGGCTTGGACTCGTTGAGCTACCTGGCTAGCAGCAATTGCCACGTTTTAGGATCGGGTTAGGCCTGCTTCTACGGTGGGTTAGGCCTACTGTGGTAGCTGCTAGGATTTGGGCCTCCTGCCTATGGGCTTGGAAGTGGACCTGGGCCTTCTGCCCAGGGTTTGGTTGGGTGCAGCACTGCGAGGGAAACAATGGTGAAAATGGTGTCGTGGCCTGGTGGCCTGCCGCGGCTGTTGGGTCACGACAGTGATGGTGCAGCTCCATAGCGGTGGGGCTCTTCTTGCCGTCGCGTTGAGCCTTGAGGCTTGCTGTCGTGGGGCTATGTCCTCATCTCCACTCTTCGGTCCAAATCCTTGTATGTACGGGGTTCCGTTCATCGTAGTTTCTGAATTTCCTACCATTGTATCCTTTATCCAGGGATTGATCAAGAAACTTTTCTAAGAAAAATTAATTGATAAGACATGTGAGAAATTCAAAGTAACAGAAAATTCAAGAAACAAATGCAAGAGACTTCTTTGAGTATTTGAATCAGCTTTTAATGAAAGAACCAATTTGTTGATGCAAATTTCCGCCGTCTTCATTCTTGAAAAAAATGCACTTGCAAAACAATCAACACCTTTGATCAAAGACCTAAGCCTCACACGCCCACAAGGTGTGGGGGGGGGGGGGAAGGGGAAGGGGTTAGGCCAATGGATCTCCAATGCCTAAGTTAGTTTCTTTGAGAAAGTAAAGTGTTTAGGGCGTTTTAGGGGTAGCAAAAGCTCTGAAAATTTGGTAGAATATGAGATATTTATAGGGATAGGACCAGCCACAATGTTAGGGGTTTACCTTACACGTGGCGGCATTCTATTGGCCAAGGTGTTTATGGAGAAATATTCTCAAGATATTAAATAGGAAATAATACCTTGAGATAATGGTGTAATTATCCCTAATTTATTTAAATTGGGTTACCTACTTGATTGGAATCAATCTTCAAATGGGAATGTATTAAAGATAGGATTTGGGTAATTAATCCTTAACTTTAATGCTTTGATTTTTCCTTACCAGGGGCAGGTGAGCTGTCGCCAGTCGTATTCAGCTGCTTGGACCTTCTGGGATGTGAGCTGCACGTGTGAATATATGAGAAACCTGCCCATTTATTAACGACAATCTTGTCTTTCTTGAATAAAAATCCATGTGTCGCCTCTAGAATTTTTGGGATTATTTTAGGCTCCACAAGATCTACTTGCAATGGGTCGTCATTATCTTCTGAAGAAAATACTTTATGCTTTAATGTAACACGCAATGGAATCTTCCAAGACCTCGAAAGGTTTAAAAAAATAAAAGCATTCACATCATCATCATCAACTACATTTTCATGCCATGTAGTTTTCATTGCGTTACATATGACTTTCATATTTATCTCATACTCATTTGGGTCCACATTCACAATACCATGGGCTTTCCTCTGAAGCTTGGCAAATGTAATTTTATCTAAAATAAGTAATCCTTTTGTTTTGCAATTTTTGTACATTGAGTCAGTCCACCTTCCATTATAGTTCACCAAAATTGACAAACTAGACATTTTCCTAACATATAAGCAAAGCAATAAGAAAAGAAAAAAGTGACAGATACATTGAAAAAATAAGATTTAATATTGCCTAGATTATTAATACAATTAGTTGACAATTCCCAAGCAAGATAAGAAGAATGAAAAAGAAAGAAAGAAAAATTGGCATTTCAAACGGTAGCAATTACTGATGTTGTAGTTGAACCTGGGACCATTTAAAATATTGCTCCAATAATATTGTAAGCACGAAAACTCTTGGGACAAGTTTCACCAAAATTTTGATGTCTACAAATATATAAGTCAAATTGTGATTATGTTGGAACTAAATATGAAGCACAAATAATGCAAAGGTGGAAAACTAAATATAAATCACTAATAATCCAATCTGAACACGGACAACACCCTTAGGGTTAGTTTGGTATTGTTGAGCTTTGAAAAAAAAAACTATTTTTGCTATATGCTGTAAGAATAAACAACTGTGAAATAAAGCAGTAGAGTGTTTGTTAAACTTTTTTGTAAAAGTGCCAAAAAAAAACGGTGTTATGGTGTTTTGGTAAATTTTTATGTAAAACAGTTGTAATTGTGTAAAATGACCAAAAAGAGTATAATACTGGATGTGCTATTAATTTTATTTTTTAACAAATAAAGGTCAATTACTAAATAATTCTTTTTTAAATATTTATAAACTTATCTCAAATATTAATTAGTAAGACAAGTTACTTCAAAATATAGAAATATTAGACTGAAGAGTTAGGATTCATTAGTACAATATTGTTGATGTATTTGAAAGTAGCCTAGTTAGATGCATTCATCAAACTTGCCGCTATTCTATTTCTTAATGCTTCTATTCATATGATCCTTCATCTTGATAGTTATGGTGTTCATCATCATCATCATCATCACTATTGCTCTCTTCACAAAAGTCACAAGGGTCATCAAAATGACAATCACATTTAGAATACCTTTGATGTAGTTATGAAGAGCCATGGTTGTAGCAATGACAATCTTCACTTGCTTATTGGATGGGTAATTAGGCATATCCTTTAAAATTGCCCATCTTTTCTTCCATACCCCAAATGTTTGTTCAATGATGCTCCTAATAGAAGAATGCATGTGGTAGAATACCTCTTTTGTGACATTCCGTCCTGAAATTTAATGTATTTTATTCCCAGTAGCAATGAAATTTCTAAAATGCCATTGAGATGCCACGTAAGTTTTCCACGTGGACCTCAATTTTCCTTTCACTTTCCCATTCTTCTTTTACTATTTTTTAATAGTACTTATTTTTACGAACATGTGGCCGCAGACAAAATTCAATTTGGAGCTATAACGAACAAGTTACGTTCGAAATTGTGTAAAAATACCCAAGACAAATTCAAAACTTGGATTTTTTTTTTTTTTTTTTTTTTTTTTTTTTGGAATGTGGGATCCTAAAGGATCGCTACTGAGGAACTTTTATTAAAACCAACACACACTTACAAACAAAAACAAAGGCCCAATTTATTCCAAAAAACAAACAAAGAATGGGCCTAAAAACAAAGAAAGCACAGAAAATGAGCCCAACAACAGTGAAGTCCAAACAAAAATGAACATCCAAGAAACATCCATTGTGCTCTCCACCGCCAATCCGAGAAGCAGCCAGCCATCCAATCCTCCGTCCATTGCCGATCATCACCTTCACAGGCGCCACCTGCACACAACCATCAACAAGAGATAATCAGCGAGAAAGAAGCCAACCATCGGAAAGAAGCTCTGGGAAAATCTTGAGCAACACCACTGCAAACGGCAAACAACAAGGAGAACGTGGTGGTGTGGGAAACACCTGAGCTGGATACAACATCGGAACTCTACACACGAACTCAGCAGAAATCATGACTGAAAAACAAAGCACTGAAGGGCCATGAAAAGGGATACCCATGAGGTTGAGGGATGGGAAAAGCTAGAGAGGAAAAGGAGAAGAACCATCAGCAGATGGAAGGGGAGAAGAAAGAAAAACAAAAGCAAAAAAATCATAGGAAAAGGAGAAGTACCATCAGCAAATAGAAGGGGAGAAGAAAGAAAAAGCAAAAACAAAAAATCACCCACCGATAGGGAAATCACTCACACAATATGGTGAGAAGCACCCTCAAACAGAGGGAAAAACTCTCACAGGGAGAGCACCACTTCATGGGTCCTTTTTGGGACACTAAAATTTGCCTTCGTGCAGAGACATTGCTGCATGTATTGAGCACTTAGGTTAGTGCGTGCAAGTGGACTTTAAAATAATGGTTTTAATAGGTTTTAAAACCTATTTCCTCTCACCCAATCCATCATACATCATC